CAGTTTACCCCCCCCCCCCCACCCCCGAAAAAAACGAAATCACTACGGCACATGTTTCATTTGCTTCCGGATAATCTTCCTCGAAACACGTAGTGGTAATCATGGAAGAATGAAAAATGATTCGTTCGTATCATGTGTTGTTTGTGAAATCTTCATCAGCCGGACTGCATTGTATCAATTGTTTTGGGGTCTCCCAGTGTACGAGTCTTCAGATCAAACCAAATCTGCTCTTTTATCCAAATGGGCGGCCAAAAGATAGCAACCAAAACCGGTGCATGAAAATGTTTGGTTAAGTGGTTGTACAAACAGTATCGAAACTGATCAAATCCCATGCAGATAGATTGTTGAACTATATGAAACAGAACGGCTTTGGTCAAACGAGACCTCGACTGACAAATCTAATGAGCTCTCTCTCTCTGTATGCTGGATTCCGGATATGTGATGTTCACAACTGTCACCAAATGCACATATCTGAAATCAGGTGGAATGTTGGAATTTTGTCGGCTAAATGAATACCTCATGTTCATTCAACTGAAAATAACCCGAGTTGTGAATCTCTCATTTTCTCCCGTGTATACTGCGCGTAACGAATTGGAGATTTCTTTCGCTCTGCTCAGAATCCTTTTGCAAACAGGGTTTACTGTGAATTGACGAGACAAATAGACGATAAATAACTGTCGTATGTGAGTAATAGAGGATTTGATTCAATTTCATGGGGGAAATTTATCGTCGTGTATGGAGAGAGCAAAGGAAGTGTGAACTGCGAAACTAGGAAGCATTATTGTACAGTTGTTTCGACCTGATCGGGTCTCTTCAGTGCAGTGTTTGAATCCATCGACCCAAATCGGAATCGCGAACCCGGGACGGGCTTAGGCGAGTTGTGTTCATCCATTGCCATTTGAGACACAGTTTCGTCGCCAAAAATCGCAACTGAACTGCGGGTGAAAGCTCTACTCATCAGTGTTTCCGGTTTAGTGCAGTAGACACCTCAATTCAGGTTGGTACTTTCTTTTTTCATGTTGCAGTTTTTTTTTAGGGGGGGGGCAGGATGATGAAAATTTATACTGCTGCTTTTGCTGCATCGGTATTTTGAATTGAATTATCCGGTTTATTCCCTAGCATTTATTACTGTTTGCGAGCGCACAAATTGTGATGGTGGTTGG